GTAACACCGCGATTCAATGTGCTTGCTGTGCCCTGGCAGTCCTACACCGTGCCAGGACATCATATCTGGGACGTCATTCATAAGAAAGTTTGAAACTGTTGTGAACTGTCAAGATGAATGCACGCGACGCCGAGGCGACAACCATGCGTTGAAAAGGTGCCGCGCACCATTCGTGAAGCTCTTGCAATTAGTTCAGACGAGTGCGCGCGGCGCTAGGGCGAGAGCCGCATTTTGCACGCCGCTCGCTCTCCATCCGCGAGGCTCTTGCAAGCTTTTAAGACGAATGTGCGCGGCGCTCAGGCGAGAGCCACATGTTGTAAACTGCCCGCCCTCCGCCCGAAACAAATTTGTAACCTTTTAAAACGAAGGTGCGCGGCGCCCAGGCGAGAGCCACATGTTGAAAACCACCCACCCTCCATCCGTGAACCTGGTTCAAATAGTAAGCTTAAAGATCATCGTTGGTGACGAAGTCTCAGGCGAAACGCCTGGCACGCCCTACCGACTCGTCTCGGGGTGGGACAGGACGGAATTATTTATAAGGAGCACGGATGGAAGACGGCGGCCCGAACGGCTAGAGGCCCCTTGGGGCGCCTTGGGGGTCTCTGGGCGGTCCTTGGGGCCTCTTCGGGCGTCTTGGGTGCCTCAGGGGCCTTTCGGAGCCCCTTAGGGCCCCTTGAGGGCGTCTTGGGGGCCTCTTGGGACCGCCTGGGCGCCTCTTGGGACCATCTTGGGGTGCTCGTGGGGGCCGTGGAGGCTTTTTTTTGGAAACATCTAGGAGGATATCGATGAAGGAGGGTGGTTCTAATTAACGTCCCCCCTCTGGAGCTCCCAAAGTTGCCTCTTGCGGCCCTCCTGGGGCCCTTTTGGGGTGCTCTCGGGCGCCTGTGGGACCGTCTTGGGGCCATCTTGACCCTGTCTTGGGGCCCTCTTTTGGGGCCATTGTGAGGCCCCGGGGGCCCATCGGAAGCGAAAGGGCGAGAAGGCCATAATGATTGATTCTCCATCGGTTTTGTACTTTGGGTCTGTTGTGGGCCTCCTTGGCGGTCTCCGCCGCCTCTTGGATCCATCTTGGAGCCATCATGGGGCCTCTTGGAGGCATCTTGGATGCCATCTTGGGCCAACTTGGACCATGTGGCGCCATCTTGGACGGCATCTGAAAGCAGCAGGGGCCACCTTGGAGCCCCCCTGGGCCGAATGCATTCAAAGATGCCCCCGGGAAGCAAAAAATCGTTCAAACCCTTGTGTGTTCAATGCGTCTGTCGATCAAAGAGGGGGTGTACGCAATTAGCGTCGCCCCTTCTGAAGCTCCCAAAGTCGGCTCTTGTGGCCTTCCTGTGGCGCTCTTGAGACGCTGTTGGGCGCGCGTGAGACCCTCTTAGGGGCCATTGCGCGCCCCTCTTGGGGCACTCTTGGGGTCTTCTTGGAGCCATCTCCAGGCCTCGGAAAGCGCCAAGGGCGAGAAGGCTAAACTTACCGGCGTTTTCGGGAGAAAAAAAACGCCAAGTACAACGCCTAGCGCCCCCCGCGCCCCCACTTTCAATGCTCATCTGAGGGAGCAGGCCACGGTTTACAAGTGTGGGCGTTTTTTTGTCGAAACGACTCGCATTCCCCCGCATCGACCGCCCCGAACTTTGAAGCTGGGGCCGGGGAGTTGGATCCGCTTCAACGCGCATTCGAGATGTTTTTGCTTCGAAAACTACGCGAATGATTGCCCTTAAGTATTAGCATGATTTGGGCCTCGTGCGGGCCTCCCTGTGAGACTCCGAGGCCATCTGGGCCCGCTTTGAACTGGTTTGGGGGTCTCTTGGAGCATGTTGGAAGCCATCTTGAGCGATCTTTCACGATCTCGGGCCTTCTTCGGGGTCAGATCGGGCTCTCGGAGGCCTTCTTGGAGTCATCTTGAGCCGAAAACCACCCTCTGACACCTCCCCCGCCGTCTCCAGGTCCAGGGGGAGGGGGCTAGGGGGAGGGACATAAACCCCTCCGCGCAGCCTCCTGGAAAAGGGAAGGATGAGCTCGGAAGAGAACGCACCCTGAACCACTCGCGTCCAAAAGGGTTGGCGGGATTGCAGCAGCAGTTGTAGAAGCAGCATTGGCAGCATCAGCTGTAAAAGCGGCAGCGGCAGTCGTTGTCGCAGTTGCCGCAGCAGTACATTGGAGGCCCAAGAAAACCTTGCTTGTCTCCAGGGTGACCTCGATTTCTTGGGTTGCGATGGTTTCGCGATGGAGAGCGTGACATTCCCACACCGACAATCCATGGACGTCCTGGGGCCTCAGGGTTGGGTTTCTTTCAGAAGGTTTCCTGTGGAGTGGCCTCCGCTGCAGGGGCCGCGGCGGCAGGCGCTGTCGCAGTCGTCGCAGCAGTGGCATGCGGAAGAGGACGGGGCGGGGCGCCCACCGCGCCCAGAGGCATCGGACAGGCGTACTACCACTGGTCCATCCGCCACGCCTTCTTTTCTGCCCAGGCGGGGCCCGCGGGCACCACCCCTCCCCTGGGGTCATCGGCAGGGTCCTGAGCAGGAGTGCGGCGGCGAGGCGGATGATTGCGAGGAGGAGGAGGACGACGAGCACGCGGACGAGGAGGCGCGGAGGATGCTGGGCGTGATGCCGTGTGGTGTTGGTGGGCGACGCGAGGGGGGTGGAGGGAGGATGATGCAGCGTGGCGTTGGAGGGCGAGGGGAAGGAAGTGAGGGAGGAGTAAGTTATGATGATGAGGAGGAAGAGGATGAGTCGGCAGATAGACAATCTCAGGGTTGCGGCGGCTAGGGCCTTGCGTGTCCTCTGCCCAGCCCGTCAGTTGTTCATGGCCCGTGCTCGCCCCTTGCGCCCCATGCGGTATCTTCAATCACGCCATTTCCTCTTCTCTGCGTTATGCGCAACTTGTTCCACTCTCCCTTCCCCCGATGCAACTTGCCCCTGTTCCCATTCTCCTTGTCTCAGGTTCCCCCTCACCTTGTCTTTCTTTACCCCCCTCCTCCCGCGCCCCCCACTCTCACTCCCAATCACCCTGTCCCTCGTCCTGCCGTGGCCCTCCCCCTCTCCTCTCTGTCGCCCTTCCCTTCCCCGCCCCCCCGACGTCTCCCCGCCCTCCCCTCCCCTCCCCTCGCCCCCTCCCTCCCATTCTCCTTTCGCCCCTCTCTCCACCCTAACCTTTTTTTCCCTGGTTCCCTGCACACTCCCTCGTCCTTCTTGAATCCTCCATCTCGTATTCTACTCTTCCCCGACCCCCCCCTCCGTCCCATTCCATGTCCCCCGACCCGCTCTTCCATCCAACCCCTCCGCGTCCCTCCCCTTCACCCCTCCCCTTTACATATTCGATAGGTTTACGCCACATCCGCCGACCCCTTGATCGACTTTGGAATGCCGTATTGCTGTCCTGGGGCGTACTTGTGTTGTCTTGTCTCTTTGGGGGGGCGGGCGCGGGGCTCTTCGGGGCCATCCCTGAGCTGGTCTGGGGGCATTTGGGGCCGTTCAGGGGACGAATCTTACACGTCTGGAGACCCCGAAGGGGTTGACGGATGCGGGTTGCATTACATGTGTCCAGACACGCGAAACGGCAGGGGTTATAGAGTGATCAGTGTCGGTGGTGATGGTGATGGCGGTGGTCATGGTGCGGGTGATGGTGATGATGATGTTGGTGGTGATGGTGTTGATGATGGTGACGCGGAGATGGTGACATGGTGGTGGCGGTGGTGATGAAGATGATGGTGGTGGTGATGGTGATGGTGATGGTGGTGGTGGTGGTGATGGTGATGGTGGTGGTTGTGATGTTGGTTACACTGATGGTGATGGTGATGGTGATGTCATCAGGATGGTGATGATGATGGTGAGGAGGGAGGAGAGGACGGAGCAATGAGCATGCCTCCGGTGGCATGTCGGGAGGATGTCCGACACTTCGGACAGCATGTGTGTCACCCTTGATCCCGAGACCTCGTGCAGGTGTCTGGACCGTGCAGTTTGTCATGGCCGTCGGTCCAAACCAGCTTGGTCGGGGGTCCGATTCGTGGGGTCTCTTCGGGGCGTTCTGGAGGCGGGGGCAATGTCAGATGCTGGAGGGATACTGACTAGGTCTGTGTATTGTCCGTGGCTGGTTGTCGACGTGTTCGCCGTGCAGGCATGGGGAAATACATGCGAACACCCGCGTTCATAGACGGCTGGCGTCGGTCCAAAAACTGGACGAGTGGTTCTCGAATGGCAGGCGGCGTATCCCGCCACCTCGCTCGGGTTGCGGGTGTGCGGCCACACGGATGGTTGATGGGATCTCGTGGGAGGCCTGACGGGGTCGTCTTGCAGGTAGTTGTGGGTCCTCTTGGGGGGTTCCTTGGGGCTTCTTGGAGGCCTTTGAGGTTTTCTTGGGGGTCCCTCAGGGCCTCTTGGGGTGTTCTTGGGGCAGGCTGGCGGCGTTCCAGTGCCGAAGGCTCGAAAAGGTGCCTCTGGACTCCGTTTTGGAGCCGTCTGGGGACCCTGTTGGACTGTCTCGGGGGTTTCGTGGGCTGTTTTTGGACCCTCTTCGACCCCTCTTGGGAGCCCCTTCGGCTGTTTGGGGACGATCTTGAAGGTTTCTTTGCCCGTCCTGGACGTTGTGAAAACTTGTTTTTTTTCCCAGAGGGGAATGGGCCGATTTCTGTTTCTTGGGACTCTTTTGGGGCTCCTCATGGGGGCCTTTTGGGGCGTCTTGGCAGCATCGGAGCGATATTTCGGCGACTCGTGGCCCTCTGAGACCGTCCGGGGAGCGTTTGGGAGCCTTCTTGGCCCGTTTTGGAGCCCTCCGCTCCCCCATGGCGCGTTCGGTCCGGGGTCGCGCCAGGCCAAGGGGGGGAGGGGGTGGGGGGCGCAAATTGCCGGTGTAGGGTCCCTGGGGGGGGGATTGCGGGGGGCATAATCTCACACGCCTAGAGACCCACAAAGGGTCGGCGGATTCTCCACTCCCGTCCGATTTGTTCCTCCCTCTTCCCGTCGTCCTCTGATTCCGATTCCCGCCCGCGCTCATTATCTTCCTCTCCCTTTCCCTTGCCCATCGTCCTTCAGATCTCCCCTCCGTTCTCTTCGTCCCTGAAGTCCCCTCCCGGTCTTCGTTTTCCATGACCCGTCTTCCTTCTCCCTGACCTTTAACAGCGTTTCACCGTTTTCATTGGTCATGGCGCCTTGCCTACCATCGTTCCCGTCCCCGTCCTTCGCCCCATCCTCCGTCCAGACCGCATCCCCCCTTTGCGGTGACGTCATGGGCGTGCTCGATGATTGTAAGGGGCATGCTGCAGCCGTGCCGCGATAGCCTTCTTAGAACCACTGCGCTTCGAACGCCGAGCAACGCCAAGCGCAGAATGCCAACTCAGCCGTTGCCATCTTGGGCAAACTAGCATACCGATGCGCGTGCATGACGATCGGTTACGTTTAACGATCAATGGTGGCAATGACGTTAAGGAGCTCTTCTCCACGATCCGCAACTTCGGAACGATATTGAGCACTTTGTTCAGGGCACCCGTGCGGCAGAATGCCCTGAACAGCTTCACGTAGATAACGATGAGGGGACACGGCGGGGGGATCGGGACAGGTGAATAGGGATAGGGATCGGGATACAGTGATTGGGATACCCGGCCAGGGATAAAAGGGTACACAGGTGTAGGGATAACGCTATGCACGGCAACGGGAGGCCACGGGATACCACGGGAGGCAGCTAGAGGCAACGGGGGGCAATGGGAGGCAACATCGCCCGCCCGATTCCGGATCTTGCATCGGACTCGGTAGTTGTCTGGGATGTTTCTACAGAAGTTTTAGGAAGCAGGGGAAAACGGCAGTGGGGGGCGGCGAGGTGGGGGCTGATCTTCGCATTGGACATTCACCTCCTCTCGCCTCCGCTCCCCCCCTTGCCCCTCGCCTCCCGTCTCCTTCTCTTCCCGCGCCTCCCGCTCATATCCCTCGTCCCCAAGCACAGGGGAGTGCCGGGGGAGGGACAGGGCAAAACGAGACGGAGAGGGGCCTGGGAGGAAGCGAGGCCGGGCAAGTTGGACGCGGCGCGCGAGTGGACGGGGGGGCGCAGGGGCGGAACGTGGGAGGTCGTGTACGGCTACCTGTCCATGCCGTTTTTCCTGTTCATGATTCCAGTGCTGCAGAGGCGGGTCGTTCGCACGGGGCATGCTGGAGCGTGATGTTCTTGTTGGCGTGCATCCTCCCTTGCGTCCTCCGCGTCGCCCCACTCTTGTGTCTCATCATCGGATGTTTCCCCTCCCTGTCTCGTACTGTTATACTGCTGCCATATATTCCTCGGCTATGCTCGCAGTCGTTGGTATCTCTTTTCTTCGTCCCAAGCATCCTGGCTTCGTTCTGCATGGTACCCAATTTCAGCCTTCCTGCTGAACAGGAAGCGGTGATGTCTGTAGCTCGCAGGCTTCGTATCTATATTACATTACAACAGTGCCCCATCCTTCTCCCGGAGCCGCCGAGATTTGCAACATCTACGCCATGATGCAATGCATTTGCCGAGCAACCCGTGCGATCCCTGCTTTGTTCGACTCGACGGCCCTTCCCCCGAGTTTCTGTGGTTTTGATCAGCACGATTGGAATAACCACGGTGGCGTTACCCTTTTGAAGCAGACCTGGTGGCAGGCCTCTTTGTTCAGCAAATGTTGGGGCATCCATGGTACACGTACCGCCTCCCTGCGGACACATGACATTCGCAAATAATGCCCACTGAATGCGGGACAGTTCAGTTCATCAGAATGCAGTCTGCGAGCGATGCTAGTTGTTTCGCTGTTCTGCATGCCTGCTTACGAGTGTATCGTCCCCAATTGGGTCTTGAGCACATGCTCCGTGCCATATCCTCGTTCGGCTGCCTCGCCCTCTGCTTCCTGCTTGGGCGATGCTACGCAAGGCATGGCTTAGAGGACGGCTCAAGAGCGCGCATTTTCGGACGCCCACTCGGACCGGTATTGCCTTGTTGTGCAGTGGTTGATGCGATGCTACACGTGCTTGGCTTGCTCAGAACGCTTCTCGGAAGGCCAGGGGACTCTGGCGACAGGTCACTTCTATCCGCGCAACCGAAAGGCGCCGGTTCATGCTATTGGTGCTCGCTGAAGCCCTACACGCCGCCCTGTGCTGCCCTGCGCAAGGGGACGAGGAGGGGAGAAGCATGCAGACGACGACGAACGCGCAGGCGGGAGGCCAGGGCCGGCGGGGCGGGCGAGCAGGCGGAAGAGGGGCCAGGCGGTGACAGCAGGCAGAGGGAGCAGGAGGAAAGGAAAGGGGACGACGCTCGCCCTCCCGTGGCCCCGTGGCCGTCAGAAACTTGTGGATCCAGGACGCAAGTCCAGACAGGGTGGACCCCAGGAGGGGTCCCCGGGGGGTGGGGGAGGGCAGATTTCGAGCAGCGACTGGCCGGGGGGGGGGGAGGGAAGCTAGGTGCGCTCGCGTCATATCTGACGTCCTACCCCTCCCTCCCATCCCTTACCATGGCGTCGATCTCCTCGCTATTCGCGCAGTCGGATGTCGTAGCATGGCATAGCATTACATGGCATAGCATAGTGTTGAAGACTATGACGTGGCGACGCCCCAAAGTGGGGGGGGGGGGGGGCTTCCGCGGCCACAAAAAATCAACGAATCTACACCGAATGTGTAATCACTTCCGATGGTTTCTTCGGGAGGCTACTTTTGTAGATTTTGGGGCCGATTTGGAAGGACCGAAAACCATGCAGTGGCATGGCGCTGGAAATGATGACGCCAGCGCTGCAGCGGGAGCACGATTCGGAACGAGCGGAAGCGCGGAAATGAGGCCAGCGCTGCAGCGGGAGCACGATTCGGAACGAGCGGTAGCCCGAAAGACATACCAGCGCTTCAGCGAGAGCATCATGTTGAAAAACACCCAAGCCGAAACCCAACTCCTGGGAACCCTGTGTAAAAAGCCATTGAGCGGAGGGGGGCCGAGCAATCCCTGGACGCCACCAGGGGAGAGAGGAGAGTAGTATTCAGAGTGTTCACTTGTGAAGGACGAGCGAGGAGAAGGGAGGACGAAGTGAGGGGCAGGAGGAGGGAGGGAACGACGGAGGGCGAGGAGGATGAGCACGCGAGCGCGTTCCTGCTTTTTCTCTCTGGTCAGGAGGGGAAAATAAGCACACAGACACAATTAATCATCGATTCCCCAGAAAATACAGATGGGAAAATATGGGATGTGGGGGGAGAAGACAAAAACCAAGAAAATATGGGAAAATATGGGGAGTCCTGTTATTTGTGTGTATTTTTTGTGTGGTGTCCCAGGGCCCCTTCATCTCACTCTATCCCCATAAAGCTGGGGGAGAAGGTTCCGTTCATCGAATGGCCTGCCTTTGTCAGGCGATCGCAAACATGGATTAAGGGGGCGTGGGTTAGCGACGGGCCCCGTTCCCATAGGAAATCGAGGATTTCCGCCGCCGAGCGAGGCGGCACCGGCCGCATTTTGGGGAGGGCACCTCCCCCGATCCATGGATTTGGCGACCGCGCGCCAAATCCATGGATCGCTAATCCATGTTTGCGCGCCCCTGATTCTGATGGCCTTGTATGTAAACCTGTTCCCCCCGATATTCTGCCCCCCCCAAGACAAGAAAGTTCGGGGTCCTGGGGAGATAATGAACTTTCTGTCCCGGCGAGTCGCACGTGCGTCCGTCGTTGGCGTATCGTCGTCGTCCCTCCTATTTCGTCGCCGTCGTCGTCGTCGTCGTCGTCGTCTTCCCTCCTCCCTCGTCGTTGTCGTCGTCGGCGTCGCCGTCCTCCCTCCACCTTCGTCGTTCGCGTCGTCGCCGTCCTACTTCCTCCCTCGTCGTTGTCGTCGTTTGCTGTCGTCGTCCTCCCTCCTCCCTCGTCGTCGTCGTCTTCGTTGGCGACGTCGTCGTCGTCGTCTTCGTCGTCGTCGTCGTCGGCGTCGTCGTCGTCGGCGTCGTCGGCGTCGTCGTCGTCGGCGTTGTCATCGTCGTTGTCGTCGTCGGCGTCGTCGTCGTCGAAGTCGTCGGAGTTGCCGTCGGTGTCGTCGTAGTCGTCGTCGGCGTCGTCGTCGCTGTCGCTGTCGTCGTCGGCGTCAGTGTCGCTGCCAAGTGCAATTTGGCACCTACCGTCACTGTCTCAAGAGTCAAGAGGCCTTGCGACCAAGTTGCGGGTGGGAGGGTGGGGTGTTTGCACGAGCAGTGGAGAGGACAGCTTCAAGACAGTCAAAGTGAATTGCACCACATAGATTGCACCACATAGTTTGCTAGAACACAGTGCTTGGGGTCCACGCTGGTTAACATTCCCAAACAGTGCTTGCGTTTAGAGGTTGTTGTTTGCCGCCTGGGGAACTGGGCCAGTCCTTTGGGTTTGCGGCCCCATTCCCGTCCATCGCTGCGCTGCCTTGTCTTTCCCAATACAAGGCCCTTCTGTTCGCCTCGCGTCCGCGTTATCGTCTGTCGCCGCCGCCCCGTTGCCCCCCCCTTCGGTAGCACGCCCTCCCGTTCGCACCGCAAGTTTCTCACTGCTTTGAATTGCGTTGCATTGCTCTGTATTGCTCTGCATTGCTCTGCATTGCTCTGCATTGCTCTGCGTTGCTTTGCATTGTGTTGCACTGCGGTGCACTGCTTTGCATTGATTTGCACCACATGGCTTGCATCACATTGATTGCACCACCTAGATTGCAGAAGATTGACTGCGCTACCTAGATTGCACCGCACCTGTTGATCGAGAGCACTGTTTGGGGTCCGCGCAGGCTCAGGGATGCACATACGCATGTCGGGCCTCTGGCGGTCTGGGAGGGGTGGGCCAGATCCGAGGCCCAGGGATTTCCCCAGGTCAGCTCGTTATCGGGGGTCGGTGTTCGACGGTCCTGGGGCCTGTGGGGGGCCACGAGGGGCCGAAAACGGTGAAGAAGCGAAGAACGTGCAGGGCCCGTTTCCTCCAGAAGGGGAGGGGGATGATGATGATGATGATGATGATGATGATGATGATGATGATGATGATGATGATGATGATGATGATGATGGTGGTGGTGGTGGTGGTGGTGGTGATGATAATGATGATAATAATGGTGTTGATGATGTTGTTGATGATGTTGTTGATGATGATGATGATGGTGATGATGATGATGATGATAATGATGATGATGATGATGATGATGATGATGATGATGATGATGATGATGATGATGATGATGATGATGATGATGATGATGATGATGATGATGATGATGATGATGATGATGATGATGATGATGATGATGGTGATGATGATGATGATGATGATGGTGATGATGGTGAGGAGGAGGAGGAGGAGGAGCAGCAGGAGGAGGGGAAGAGGAGGAGGAGGAGGCTGTGATGGAGGAGGAGGCTGTGAGGGAGGAGGAGGAAGAGGAGGAGGAGAAGGAGGATGAGGAGGTGGAGGTGGAGGAGGAGAAGGAGGAGGTGAAGGAGGTGGCTGCGAGGAGGAGGAGGAGGAGGAGGAGGAGGAGGAGGAGGAGGAGGTGGAGGACGAGGCTGTGTGGGAGGATGAGGAGGAGGAGGCTGTGCGGGAGGATGAGGATGTGGAGGAGGAGGAGGAGGACGAGGAGGACGAGTAGGAGGAGGATGACGCTGTGTGGGAGGAGGAGGAGGAGGAGGAGGAGGACGAGGAGGAGGAGACTGTGTGGGAGGAGGAGGAGGAGGAGGAGGAGGTGGAGGGAACGCTACAAGCTTAGTTCTTGAGGTCGCCCAACGTCAACAGGAGGAGGAGAGCCTGTCGTCGCGCCGCTGGGGCGGCCAGGGAGGTTCCTGACGCACTCGATCGACACCGCCTACGATACGAAAGGCCTCCAGTGGGGGCGGCGCCCAGGGCCGCCGCGGGGGGCCCGTGTGCCTCTTCTTCTGGCCGCCTGGCCCGTTTTGATCCGATCGACCCCCCTCCTCCTCCTCCTCATCCTCGTCCTCCCTCCTCCTCCTCCTCCTCCTCCTCCTCCTCCTCCTCTCCTCCTCCTCCTCCCTCCTCGTCCTCCTCCTCCTCCTCCTCCTCCTCATCTCCTCCTCCTCCCCCCTCCCTCCTCCTCCTCCTCCTCCTCCTCCTCCTCCTCCTCTTTCTCCTTGATCCGATCGTTCCCATTCTGGCTGGCCCGATCCGATTCGGCTCCTCTGTTCCGACGATCTGAAGCGACGCGATGGTGGCTCTGCGCTGTTGCGCATCCCGGCGCGGCCGATCTGGTGCGATTCCGCCTCCGTGTCTGTGCGGCCCGCTTCGACGCACGTTCCGATCCGTCCAATTTCCCGATCCGACGGTGGCCGATCCTGCCCGTGCCTCTTGTCTGGGCCAGGGGCATGCCTGCGTGTCTTCATCGAGGCCTCATCGAGGTGGGGCGTGGGGTGGGGGACATAAGGCAGGGGGAGGAAGAAAAAGCGGCACAGACACACAAGCATGAATGTTTGGAGACCCGCGCGGACTTCTTGGATCGGCGCCGGACTCCGGACGGACCTCCGAGAGTTTTTATGTGCATGGAACTCTTTCCTTTACCGTGCAGGAGCACTTATGAGCCATGGCTCTGGGTATTGCCTGCACCAGGGCGGCGGCTTCGACACTTTGAAGCTCTGGAGGTTCAGCTTGGGATGCTGTGGCTCTGTGATGCGCCTGGTGTGCGCTTGCCAGCAGGGAGAAGGGGTGAGAGGAGTGGACGGAGGTACAGAGGGAGGGGGGAGGATAGAAATAAGGAGGAAGAGGAGGAGGAGGAGGAGGAGAAGGAGGAGGAGGAGGCGGACGCGGAGGAAAAGTACGAGGAGGAGGAGGAGGAAGAAGCAGGCTACGAGACGGAAGAACGAATTCGGAGCAGCAGGAGGGGCTGCCCCCTGGTGCCAGGGCAGGAGGAGGAGCGGCAGCAGGAGGAGGAGCAGCAGCAGGAGCAGCAGAAGCGGCTGCCCCCGCCAGCCTCAGTCGGCGCTCTGGGCTTATCTGCCGCAGCTCGAGGCAGAGCTAGTCACCGCGGGGCTCCTGACCCTGTCGGGGTGCGCATGCCGAGGACGTCCAAACAGACCCTAGTGTCCGTTCTCTCTCTCTCTCTCTCTCTCTTGGGGAAGCCAAACAGGTACCCATACCGCCACTCCGCGGGCCTCTCCCGGGGTGCACTCTGAGCAGAATTTCGAGGCGAGTCCAGCGGTGGCGACGAGGGCCTCCCAGGAGGCCCAAGAGGGGAAAAAGACTTAAGAAAGAGCGCGCCCGCAGCGCCGGGAATAAGGAAAGGGGGGCCCCAGCTTCAAGCCCCCCCCCCCTCTCCCTTCCAAAAGGGGGGGGGAGCTTCCGAAGCTACCCCACCCCCCTCTCCCTTCTGTAAGGGTTTCTAAGCTAGGGGGGCCCTGGCTGAAGGGGGGGAGGGGCTTCGAAGCTATCCCCCTGCTCCCTCCCTTCTCCGGAGCAGAAGGTGAGCCCGGGCTTCCCTTTCAAAAGGGGGGGGGGGCTTCGGAAGCTACCCCCCCCTCCTTCGTTTTTGGGTCTGGACACAGGGGGGGCTGCTTCAAGCTACCCCCCTCCACCCTCCTTTGCAAAGGTGGGGGGGGCTTCCGAAGCTCCCCCCCCCTTCCGGGGTCATGGCAAAATTGCTGAATCTTTGTAGACAGGTGCGCGCCGCAGCGCTAGAGAACGCATTGGAGAATAACGTCGACCCCTGGTTCGTTTTCTTATTTTCTTGTTTTCTCGGCCCCTGGTTCGTAGTCTCGTTTTCTCAGGCCCTGATTCCTTTTATCGGACTCTCGTTTTCTCGGCCCCTGGTTCGTTTTCGCGTTTTCTCGTGTTTTCGGCCCCTGGGTCGCGGTCTCGTTTTCTCTGACCCTGGTTCATGTTATCGTTTTCTTGTTTTTGTCGGGCCCTGGTTCGTGGTCTCGTTTTCTCTTACCCTGCTTAGTTTTCTCGTTTTCTCGGCCCCTGGGTCGAGATTTTGTTTTCTCGGGCGCTGGTTAGTATTCTCGTTTTCTCGTTGTCTCGGCCCCCAGGTGGTGGTCTCGTTTTCTCTGACCCTGCTTCGTTTCCTCGTTTTCTCACCTCCTGGGTCATGGTCTCGGTTTCTCGAACCAAGCGTTTTATGGCGAGGCGATCTCGGCCCTTGGGTCGTGGTTTCGTCAGAGCCTGGTTCGTTTTCTCGTTTTCTCGGCCCCTGGGTCGTGGGTCGTTTTCGCGTTTCCTCGTTTCACCTGCCCTTGGGTTGTGGTCTCGTGCTCTCTGGGCATGGTTCGTTTTCTCATTGTTTGTTTTCTCGGCCCCTGGGTCGTGGTCTCGTTTTCTCGGGCGCTTGTTCGTTGTCGTGTTTTCTCGTTTTCTCGGCCCCTGGTTCGTAGTCTCGTTTTCTCGGGCCCTGATTCCTTTTTATCGTTTTGTCGTTTTCTCGGCCCGTGGGTCGTAGTCGTGTTTTCTCTGACCCTGTCTTGTTTTCGCGTTTTCTGTGCCCTTGGGTCTCGGTCTCGTTTGCTCGGACTTTGGTTCGTGTTCTCGTTTTCTCGTGTTCTCGACTCCTGGGTCGTGGTCCAGTGTTCTCGGACCCTGATTCGTTGTCTCGTTTTCTCGTTGTCTCGGCTTCTGGGTGTTTGTGTCGTTTTCTCGGGCCCTGGTTCGTGGTCTCGTTTTCTCGTTTTCTCGGCCCCTAGGTCGCGGTCTCATGTTTCACCTTGGTTAGTTTTATCGTTTTCTCGTGTTCTCGGTTTCTGGGTCGTGGTCTCGGCTTCTCTGACCCTGGTTCGTTGTCTTGTGTTCTTGTTTATCGTCCCCTGGGTCGTGGTCTTGTTTTCTGTGAAACTGGTTAGGTTTCTCGTTTTCTTGTTTTCTCGGCTCCTGGGTCGTGGTCGAGTTTTCTCTGACCCTGGTCAGTATTCTCGTTTCTTGTTTTCTGGGCCCCTGGGTCGTGGCCCAGTGTTCTCGGACCCTGGTTCGTTTTCTCGTTTTCTCGTTTTCTCGGTGGTTGGGTTGTGCTCTCCTTTTCTCGGGCCTTGGTTAGTTTTCTCGTTTTCTCTGCCCTTGGGTCGTGGTTTGGTGTTCTAGGACCCTGGTTGGTTGACTCGTTTTCTCGTGTTCTCGACCCCTGGGTCGTGGTGTTGTTTTCTCTGACCCTGGTTTGTTTTCTCGTTTTCTCTGCCCTTGAATCGTGGTCTCGTTTTCTCTGACCCTGGTTCGTATTCTCGTTTGCCCCTGGGTCGTGGTCCAGGGTTCTCGGACCCTGATTCGTTTTCTCGTTTTCTTGTTTTCTCGGCCCCTGGGTCGTGATCTCGCTTTCTCGGACCCTTGTTTGTTTTATCGTTTTCTCGTTTTCTGGGCTCCTGGGTCGTAGTCTCGTGTTCTATGACCATGGTTCGTTTCGTTTCCTCGCTTTCTCGGCCCCTGGGTCGTGGTCTCGCTTTCTCGGACCAATATTAGCGTTTTCTCGGCCTGGGTCGTGGCCTCGGTTGCTCGGACCCTGGCTCATTGTCTCGTTTTCTAGTTTTCTCGGCCCCTGCGTTTTTGTCTCGTTATCTCGGGTCCTGGTTCGTTATTTCGTTGTCTCTGCCCATAGGTCGTGTTCTCATTTTCTCGGGCCCTGGTTCGTTTTCTAGTTTTCTCGGCCCCTGGGTCGTGGTTTCGTTTTCTCGGGCACTGGTTTGTTTTCCCCATATCCTAAGATGGGGTTCTTGTTATTACTTGGACGCCTCCTACTCCTCCTTCTCCCTCCTCATCTTTTCTCCTCCCCTCCTGTCGGACTTACTCATACTCCCACTTGCTCATACACAGACTTACTGATACTACTCACACCCAGACGTACTCATACACAGACTCACTCGTACCCAGACTTACTCATACACAGTATTAGTCATACTCAGACTTACTCATTCCCAGACGTACACATACACAGACTTTCTCATACACAGACCTACTCATACCCAGACTTACTCATACACAGACTTACTCATACACAGACTTACTCATACTCAGCACCCCTAAGGGGAGCCGCCAGGGGTGGTTGCACGGGCTCGTTCGCGGCCATTTTGTGGGGATGTCTCAGGCGGTTTGCTTGTTTCTGGGCCCAACATCCTTCGCTTGGAGCAGATTTGGAGGATGTCTCAGCGGGGCGCTGGTTTCAGCACCCCTAAGGGGAGCCGCCAGGGGTGGTTGCACGGGCTCGTTCGCGGCCATTTTGTGGGGATGTCTCAGGCGGTTTGCTTGTTTCTGGGCCCAACATCCTTCGCTTGGAGAGCAGATTGTGAGGATGTCTCAGGCGGGGCGCTGGTTTCAGCACCCCTAAGGGGAGCCGCCAGGGGTGGTTGCACGGGCTCGTTCGCGGCCATTTTGTGGGGATGTCTCAGGCGGTTTGCTTGTTTCTGTGCCCAACATCCTTCGCTTTCGGAGCAGATTTGGAGGATGTCTCGAGCGAGGCGCTCATTTTCACCCCCCAGGTGGGCCAGATTTTGAGGATGTCTCGATCGGTTTGCTTGTTTTGGTGGCCAGGCTCGTGGGCGCAGATTCTTCTCAGGATGCCACAGGAGGCTCCAACAGGCTCCAGGAGGCCCCAGGAGACCACATGAGGTCCCAGGAGGCATCAGGAGGCCACAGAAAGACTCAAGAGGCCACAGGATGTCCCAAGAGGCTCCAGGAGGCCCCAGGAAGCTCCAGAAGGCCTCAGGAAACCACAGGAGGCCCCAGGAGGCAACAGGAAGCGCCAGGAGGCCTCGGAAGGCAACAGGAGGCCCCGAGAGGCCCCAGGACAGGAGGCCTCAGAAGGCAACAGGAGTGGCTCTAATCCCATGTGTTTTACGTATGCTCCTATCGATTGGGCCTCACCTGGAGCACGATTCTTTGATGTTCTACGTATGTTTCTATAGATGGTCCTTCTCCTGTGTACACAATCCTAAATGTTTTACTCATGTTCCTATGTATTGGGCCTCTCCTGGGGCACGAGTCCTTGGTGTTTTACGCGTGTTCCTATAGATTGCCCTTCTCCTGTGGCTCTAATCCGCAATGTTTTATGTACGTCTGTTGCTATAGATTGCGCCTCTCCTGGGGCACGAAACCTTCCTAGGAGGTCCAGGAGGTCCCAAGAGGCTCCTGGAGACCCCAGGAAGCCCCAGTAGGTTTCAGGAGGCCCCAGGAGCATGCACAGAGACGCGCTCGTACTACTGAGGCTCATTCACACTCCAATTCATTCGCAGTTAGATTGATGTCCAGACCGTCACAACTGAAGCCCGTTAATATTCGAAAGCTCTTGCGCCTAGACATTCACGGCGGACAGGTCCATGCGAGTAGATGCACATATGGGGAGCTCCACGCAGAGAATAATCTTATTGTCTCGTTTTGTCGGCCCCTGGATCGTGATCTCGTTTTCTCTGACCCTGGTTCGTTTTCGCGTTTTCTCTGCCCCTGGGTCGTGGTCCCCTTCCTCGGACCCTGGTCTCGTTTGCTCGGACCCTGGTTCATTGTCTCGTTTTCGCGTTTTCTCGGCCCCTGGGTCGTGGTCTCGTTTTCTCGGACCCTGCTTCGTTTCCTCGATTTCTCAGCCCCTGGGTCGTGGTCTCGTTTTCTCTGACCCTGGGTCGTCGTCGTCGTCGGTCGTCGGTCGTGCGTCATCCGTCGTCCGTCGCCGTCTTTGCATGACCTCGTCCTCGTCGTGACGACCACGACGAGGTCATGCGAAGACGGCGACAATAACGGCGACGGCGGCGACGACGACGACGACGAGGACGACGACGGCGTCGTACGAAGACGTCGAGCGACGGCGACGGCAACGACGACGGCGACGGGGGAGGATCGTCTGGCAGGGGGAGTTCAAGGGAAGGGGGTGGTAGCTAAGACGCCCCTCCCCTTCTGGAAAGGAGGGGAGGGGAGGGGAGGGGAGCTTCCGGCAGGGGGAGAAAAATGGAGGGAAGGCGGGGGGGCTCCCCGCAGAGGCGGGTCAAAGGAGGGGGGGGTAGCTAAGCTCCCCTCCCCTTTCGTAAGGGGGAGGGGGGGGGTAGCTTCCCGGTTGCCGAAAGAGGGGGGGGGGGGGCTGCAGCCCCCCCCAATGGGGGGGGGGGGGGTAGCTTCCGGCAGAGGGGGGTCAAGGGGAGGGGGGGGTAGCTAAGCCCCCCCTCCCTTTGGAAAGGGGGGGAGGGGGGGTAGCTTCGGAGTGGCGAAAGGGGGGGAGGGGGGGGGGTAGCTCAGGGGGGAAGCGAAAAAGGGGGGAGGGGGGCGGGGGAGCTTCCAGCAGGGGAGGTGGAATGGAGGGGTGGGGTAGCTAAGGGGTGACCCCCCCCCTTTGCTCCGGCGCTGTGGGCGCGCTCTCTCAGGTGTAAAGGTAGCGGTCTGGGTACCTGCTCCTCCTCTGATATGTTTTTCTCTCTCTCTCTCTCTTTCTCTCTCTCTCTCTCTCCCTCTCGCTGTCTGTCTCTCTATCTCGCTCTCTTCCTCCCCCCGTCTCTCATCCTCCGTGTCCTCGTCGTCCTGCTCTTCTTACCCTCCTTCCCCTCACGCCCAGGGCGGTGTGTTGCCTACGCTGGGCCCAAGAGGAAGAGGGACGAGGACCGTGGCTGCCTGGCTGGTGCAACGCAAGAGGGAGGAGGAGGAGGAGGAGGAGGAGGAGGAGGAGGAGGAGGAGGAGGAGGAGGAGGAGGAGGAGGAGGAGGAGGAGGAAGGGGGAGGAGGGGGAGGAGGAGGAGGAAGAGGAGGAGGAGGAGGGAGGGGGGGAGGAGGGGAGGAGGAGGAGGAGGTGAGGAGGAGGAGGAGGAGGAGGAGGAGGAGGAGGAGGAGGGGGAGGGGGAGGAGGAGGAGGGGAGGAGGAGGAGGAGGAGGAGGAGGAGGAGGGGGAGGTGGGGAGGAGGAGGAGGAGGAGGAGGAGGAGGAGGAGGAGGAGGAGGGCGGAGGAGGAGGAGGAGGAGGAGGAGGAGGAGGGAGGGAGGGAGGGGTGCAAGAGTTAGAAGGCAAGGGACTGGCTGGAGGTGAGGGACGGATGGGGAGGATGGGGATGGAAAGCGGCGGGATGGTGGGGTGATAGAGGCGGGAAGGGGACGGAGTCAATGAGGGAGGGGGAGGGATGGGAGAGTACCTGGGGAGCGTGGAGGGGAGGGGAATACGAGGGCGGAGGGTAGACGAGGCAGGGGAAGGCGGGAGGTGAAGGAGAGGGCACGAAGGAACAGACCGCCTGACGATTTTGAAGCCTCTCTTTGCAGACGGAGTGACAGACAAGTGGCGAGTTATCGTGCTCCTCGCTCTTGCGTCCTCCCCCTCGTCTCTCCTCTGTTCCTATTCCCTCCCTCCATCCCTCCCCGATGCCTCTGATCCCCTACCCCTCCTCCCCAGATTCCCTTCACTTCCACTCCACTCCACTCCACTCCACTGCGCTTCAATCCACAGTAGACGCGTACGATCAGAACTCCTGCCACGAGAAATCGTGGGGCACCAGCAAGTCCTCGAACGTCACGTTGTGTGACAGGGCAGCTGTGGGCGCAAGGGGTCATCGGTGAATGATACTCCCTCCACGGGGCACAGGCCGGCGGGCAGATCTCTCACTTTCTGTGCCAACTGTGCTCCGCTATCCATCCTCCCCTCCCGTCCGCGCCCGCCTCCTCCTCGCCCCCCTTCGCGCCCTCAGACCCCCGACGTCGTGATTTTTTCATAACGTCGATCCCGAGACGTCTGGACCCCGTCCCCAGGACTGGTTTTTCATCCCGAGTCGTTTTCTGACGGTCCCGAGGCCCAGCTAGGGCCCCCCGAGGCCGAAAATAGCGAAAAGCTTCCCGTCGCGATTTTGTTCACAACGCGAGGGGGTCTGAGTCCTCGCCCTCGCCCCCTCCTCCGCCTCCTCCGCCTCCTCCGCCTCCTCGCCCTCCCCCCCCCCCCTCTCCGCCTCCGCCCTCCCTGGGTCGCCGCCCGGGGCGCCCGCTGGGTGACCACTTCTGCACCCCCGTCGGGTGCGTGGCCCCGCCCTGGGCCCAGCATCGGTGCACACGCCCTCCTCGCCCAGCCGGGAGCCCAGATCTCCGCGACGAGACGCTCTGTTGTTCAATTCTGGCGGTGTTCCTCGATCTCGCTCCTGGTTCCCTGCGGACTGTTCTCCCCTTGGCCCACTCGACCATGGCTTTCCTCTCGATGGTCACCAGCGCTGGCCCCCTCTGACGGCTCGCACTGAGACGCACCTCCTGGGCGTACACCAGGGTTCGGTGCCTCGGGCCATCTGCGCGCGTCCCATGAGGCCCTCTGCGGATGAAGCCTCTGCTTTGAAAGAAGAGGTGGGAAGTTGGCACTTGCACTGGTGTGCCTGTGGTGTGGCGCGCCCCGCCAGCCCTCGAACGCGCTGGCGACGGCTGGCGCTGCGGACAAACGAGTCGTTCCTGGCTCTCGGCCTCTGGGGTCCCGCTGTCGGGCCCTGGAGACCATCGGATCTGGATCCGGGCCTGGGGGGAGGGGTCGGAGCCTCTGCGGCCGCACCAGTGGAGAACTGCTGCCGTCGGAGGTCTGGGAGGGCAGGGCGTCTGTGCCCCTCCTGGGGCTCGGGGTGGGCATGGCCAGATTTGTGTGTCTGTGTGTCTGTGTGTCTGTGTGTCTGAGGTCTGTGTGTGTGTTTGTGTTTGTGCTTGTGTGTGCTTGTCTGTGTGTCTGTGTGTCTGTGTGTCTGTGTGTGTGTGCGCACCGGTGTCTTTCTATTGGGGCTCTAGTTCAGATCCAGAGCGAGCTCGGGCCCCTCCCTGCTCTGCGCGCGCTCCCGCAGCCGACTGCTCCGTGTCCTGCACGTCGTCGATCTATTTTCTCCTGCTGCCTGGTCACCCCGACGCTGATCGAATCGATCGTCGCGTCTTCTCCCCTCCTCCCTCTCTTCGTCCCCCCTCCTCGTCGCTGGACTGGAGGTGCGCCGCATCCAAATCCAAAACTCTTCTCCTCCTCCTCCTCCTCCTCCTCCTCCTCCTCCTCCTGTTCCTCCTCCTCCTCCTCCTCCTCCTCCTCCTCCTCCGCCTCCTCCTCCTCCTCCTCCTCCTCCTCCTCCTCCTCCTCCTCCTCCTCCTCCTCCTCCTCCTCCTCCTCCTCCTCCTCCTCCTCCTCCCCCACATGCCGATGGTTTTCCGCAGCCCCTGGGGTGGCTTTTGTGCAGGACCCATGGGGCGCCGGTAAGGTTGTGCGCATGGCGCGCGCCCGACGAGCATCTTCACAATCACCCTTAGGATTAGGAAGCCGGGGCGCCACCGGATCTCATCCTTCTCGTATCCCGCCCCCATTGTTGCGCGTTTGTTTGTCCCGCCATCCGTTTTGCCTCGTTTTGCTCCGTCTTAGCTCGCTTCTGCTGTTCCCCCGTCGGTTCGCCCGGCGAATAGGGAGAGCGCCGTCCATCCATCCAGCCCTGTTCCGCTTTTTGGCCTTTTTTCTGGCTCTCGCGTCGAACTCCACGTGCTCGCCCATCCTGTGCCCTGCGTCTTGTCTTGTTTCCTGCTTTCATGCTCACCCGCTGCGTGTGCTTCGGTGGCGCGAGAACGAGGCACGCATCTCCACGGCTCCCCACTCCTAATTTGTCCCCAGAGAGGTTTCGGCCTCCAGGACACAGGCCGGCGGCAATGCCAGCCGTCGTGCATGCATCGCGTCCTGAATTACTCCCGTCCTGGACCCCCCAAAGGAGCATTCGATCTCCAGGACACAGCCCAGCGGCAATGTCGGCCGTCCCGCATGCATCGCCTCTTAATATACTCCCACCCCAGCCCTTCCCCCCAGGGGAAGTATCTGCCTCCCGGGTACGGTCTGGCGGCAATGCCGGCGGTCCTGCGTACATCTCCCACATGCACACGCGTTGTACGTACACGCGCACACGCTCCCTAAAGGGTAGCAATATCGATCAGCCGCCCGAGGCGGCTGCACTTGAAACGGAAATCTGTAATCAAGTTTGCCCTCCTGGGAACGGCTCTCTCCAATCCCCAAGGTCACAGTAGAAATTCGAGGGCCTGCAGGCAGCCTCATCCCCCACCATGTCCGAGTGGGCCGTCCTTGGCCCTGCAGTTGGGGCTGGCCGTGTGGGGGTGTCCCCCGATCGCCATCCTGACGCATCCGGATTTTCCTTCACCCCTGCGTCCGCATCCCTGCCATCTGTCTCCACCTCTCGCCGCCCTCACCCGCGGCCCACGGAACCGCCCTGGTACAACGAGAGTCGTGCTGTCCCTCCGGCTATCCAATTGCTCGTCGGGTGTGGTCTGTATCTGCAGTGCCTGTGGAACGTACTCGGGATCGGGGAATCTCAGGAGGCCCACTGAGGATCGCAAGCGCGAGATCACCTCCAAAGGGGCCAGCTACTCCTGGGACAGGCTCTTTCGAGGCCAACATCCCGATTTCAAGAAAGGGCCGGCTTAAGTGCCTCGAGGGACGCGCGCACCTAGCCACAGTGTTGCCATCGCAGCTATTTGCGCTCTCGTTCCCTACCCGCCGTCTCTTCAGACACCCTTTGCGCAATTCAAACCAAAACACGAACGCCCATTCTTGCCTAGGGACCGCCCCCGCGCGGGCCCGCCGCCTGGTGGGGGCGGGGCGATGGCACCGCGGGCGGAGGGAGGGAGGGAGGGGGGGGGGAAGCTAGGTGCGCTCGCGTCATATCTGACGTCCTACCCCTCCCTCCCATCCCTTACCATGGCGCTGATTTTCTCTATCCGCGGACGCGTGTCGTAGCGGACCTGTGGCTCCGCGCGCGCGTGCGTAGTGGGTGGTGGTGCACGTGCGTGCGTGCGTGCGTGCGTGTGTGTGTGGGTGGTGGTGGTGGTGTGGTGGGTGGTGGTGGTGGTGGTGGTGGTGGTGGTGGTGGTGGTTGGTGGTGGTGGTGGTGTGGTGGGGGGGGGGGGTGGTCGTGGTGGTGTGGTGGTGGTGGTGGTGGTGGTGCGGCGCGGTGGTGGCGGGCGGATGGGCGCGCGAGAAAGAGGCCCGCGCTGGGGCGAGAACGCCATCCTGAACGACGGAGGCCAAACACCGATCCGAAAATGAGGCCCACGCTGCAGCGGGAGCACGATTCGGAACGATTCGGGAGCAGAAATGAGGCCGGCGCCTCAGCGAGAGCAGCATTTTGAAAAACAAACGCAGGCGAAAACCGTTTCCCGGGAATCTTGTGTGTAAAAAAACAGTACGCGGGGGGGGGTCGGCCATCTTCGGGACGCCATCAGGGGAAGTGGGAGAGTATTTTTATATTGTGTAATTGTGGAGGGGGGGGGAGGGAGGGAGGGAGGGAGGGAGGGAGGGGGGGGGGGAGGGGGGGAGGAGGAGGAGGGAGGAGGAGGAGGAGGAGGAGGAGGAGGAGGAGGGGAGGAGGAGGAGGAGGAGGAGGAGGAGGAGGAGGAGGAGGAGGAGAAGAGGAGGAGGAGTCACCGTTTCAGCGCCACCTTGCCATTATTCCGCGTTCGCCCTCCGCGCGCAGCGTGCCCCCCCTCCCCGTGTCCCCCGCATCCCTGCCACCTGCCCATTTCGCGTCGCTTGCGCTTCGCGCCTTCGCTCCCGACCCTCGCGATCCCAATTGTTCGTCCCTGTGCTGCGCAGATCCACATCGGAGGTGGCCGCACCATCAGTTTGCAAGCGCCCTCCTCGGACCTGCATCCCTGCGCCTGGGCTTAAGACCCACGGGTTGGGCGCCTAGCGATGCGCGCCAAGGTTCGGACCCCACTCGTTGGCGGCTGCTCTTCAAAGCCAAGCCACCTGGGGACCTTCCACCCTTAAAGGAAGAGCATCATCTTAGAATCCTCGCTCTCCTCCTCTTCCTCCTCCTCCTCCTCTTCCTCCTTCTCCTCCTCCTCCTCTTCCTCCTCCTCCTCCTTGTCCCAGCGGCGTTTCAGGAGCCCCTCCCCCCCCCGTGGGAGCGCGCCCCAAGGACGAGGAGGCGAAAAAGAACCGGTGGGGCTCCGTCTTCGACCCGAGCAACCTGGAACAGGAGGGTGGCCGTGCGGGGGCAGACAAAAGAGAAGAGTAGGAACACGAGGAGGAAGGAGATCGCGATGCATTCGCATATGCACCATTGTGGGCCGGCGACCCCCCCCCTCGATTGGCAGGGGCCCCTCGTGCCCCCCCGCGAGCCCGTTGATTAAGGGTGTCCTCCGTTCGCTGAAGTTTGTCGGCGTTTCGAGCCCAAGAGTCCCCACGAATGCCCGAGAACGGCCAAAAAACCATACGAGAACCCGAAAAGGCCCCACCATGGAATTCTCCAGAACGTCCCCAGGAGACAGTCCGTGGACGCACCCAGCTCACCCAAGTCTTCGGGGACATCCTGGGGGTGAAATGACACCGTATCAGGTTTTCCCTCGAAGGGTCCAGGAGCCGTCAGGAGGCGGGCCACTTCACGGTGGTTCTGAGCTGTCTTGGAGCCGAATTGAAGCTGTTCTTGGGGCCACAATTGCCTACCTTGCGGGCGTTTGGGGCCCGCTTGGGGATGTGCTCGCGAGGGCTCTTGGACCCTCTTTGGAACCTCTGTAGCTCTCTTCGGAACCACTTGGCGGGACAACCGAATCGAGGAAAGAACGCCCCCCCTGTATTCCGATGCTGCGACTGCGCTCCTCTGTGGGCGACAGCTGGGGCCGGGGCCTTTCTCCGAGGCCCCGCCGCCCTCCGAGACGGCCCGCCCCCCGAATTGCCCTTCTGGGGCTCGCCGCCGACACGCGGCGCGCGAGGCAGGAACAACGGCGCGACCAGGGCGAGGACGAGGAGACAGGATGAGCACAGGAGGAGCGTGGGCCAGAGCGGTGCGACGGGGCGGGGACGAGGAGGAGACACGTGGGGAAGGGACGGGCGAGGCGGCGGCACACGCGGAGGAGGGGCCCCTGGGACGAGGCAGAGGCGGCGTGGCCGGAGACAGAGGGGGACGGCACGGCGACGGGTGAGAAGCGGGTGGGCGAGGAGAAGGAAAGCCGGCAGCAGGACAAGGAAGGTGGGGACGGGAGGAAACAGTACGCGAGAAGGAGGAGGAGGAGGAGGAGGAGGAGGAGGCGGATAATGAAGAGGAGGAGGAGGAGGAGGAGGAGGATAAGGAGGAGGGGGAGAAGGAGGAGGAGGAGGAGGAGGAGGAGGAGGAGGAGGAGGAGGAGGGCTGGCTCCTCATTTGATTCGTTCCGCCCTTCTTCCAATCTGCCTCCTGCCTCATCCCTCTCCCTCCTTCCCTCCCTCCTCGTTCCTCCCTCCTCGCTCTTCGGTCTTCCCTTTTCCCTTCCGCCCGCCCTTCTCCCTACTACCGCATGTGTACGGATTTGCTTCGCGACGGGTCTCCCTCGTTTGCTCTCCCTCTTGCATCATCCTTCCCCCTTCCCTCACTCCTCGGCATTCCCTCCCCATCTGCCATCCCCCCTCCTCCTGCCTCCCTCCTCCCTGCGCCCTCCTCTCCCCTTTCCAGTAAGAGACGATAGCTGCAGGCGAAAATTTTCAGCACAGTGTCCGAGCGGCTGCGATATAGGGGCACTGCAAATTGAGCGGAAGTGGGCTGACGAGTATATGAGCCAGCAAGTCGCTGACGCCATTGCGTCGTCACGCCCACCTCCCTTCTCCCTCCCTCCCTCCCGCGCCGCCCTCCCTCTCCATCCTGCCTCTTGCTTCCTGGTCTCCCTGCCTCCCTCCCACCCAATCCTCCCTTCTCCCCAGGCGACGGCGGGCGTGGCTCTCAACGCGAAGCTCGAGGCGCTCTACGACAAGGCGCGCGTTCTCTCTTCTCTCTGGGGGGCGGGGGCGGACTCTGAGGAGCGGGAGGAGGATGAGGAGGAGAAAGAGGACGAGGAGGAAGAGGAGGAGGAGGAAGAGGAGGAGGAGGAGGACCAGTTAAAACCCAAGAAGCATCAACGATTCTGCTATGCTTCTTTTTTTCCAAGCTCCCAACTTATAGGTCCCGACAAAAATTCAGGTAGCACCCCGCAGTCGCGGATGAGAGTGAGAGGGCGGCGGGGACATTTGCAGCCTGCGAGGCTTTGAGGAAGCCCGCCGCGGGCATTTCATTTTTACCAATTATACAACGAGCCCGCCACATGCGCCGATTTTTCGGTAAAGCCATGTGGGTGGGTCGCGGTGTGGGTCGCGGGTGGGTCGTGGGTGGGTCGCGGGTGCGTCGCGGGTTGGGTCGCAGGTGGGTCGCGGGTGGGTCGGGGATCGGGTCGCGGGCGTGTCGCGGGTGGATCGCGGCGGGCGGGTCGCGGGCGGGTCGCGGGGTGGGTCGCGGGTGGGTCGCGAGTGGGTCGCGGGGTGGGTCGCGGGTGGGTCGCGGGCGGGTCGCGGGGTGGGTCGCGGGTGGGCCGCGGGCAGGGTCGCGGGGGTTCGACGCCAAACAACAACAACAACAACAACAACAACAACAACAACAACAACAACAACAACAACAACAACAACAACAACAACAGCAGCAGCAGCAACAACAACAGCAGCAGCAGCAGCAGCAGCAACAGCAACAACAACAGCAACAAAAACAAACAACAGCAACAACAACAACAACAACAACAACAATCAGCATCACCAACAACAACCCGCATCGCGGAATCCCACTTCAGCCACGCACCCAAGTACAGTGAATGACCGTTCGGCCCCCTCACTCTGATTTTCATTGCAGAAGTGCCCCATTGGAAGACAACCATCTGAGAATCCCAGTCGACCTTGCCAAATAATAACTCCTGGGGCTTCAGCGCAGCGAGTCAGCGTGACTGTTGCGTCCTGACAATTCTAAACCGTCCCAAAACCCCGTTCCTGGGATCTCTCGGCGCCGCGAACCAACATGACGTTTGCGTCCAGACGATCTGCAATCGCGCCAGAATGCGATTCCTGGAACTTCAGCAGCACGAGTATTTGAAACAGTTGCAGACGTTTAAAACGAATGCGCGCGGCGCTGAGGCGGGAACCACATGTTGAGCACCAGCCGCCCTCCATCCTTGAAACGGCTGCAAACTTTAAGACGAAGGCGCGGTGCCAAGACGAGAGCCACATTTCGAACACCACCCGCCCACCAACCATCCTTAAATATGGAGCAAACTTGAAGACGAATGTGCGCGGCGCTGGGGCGAGAGCAGCATGTGGAAAACCCACCGCCCTCCATCTTTGAACAGGTTGCAAACGTTTAGGACACATGTGCGCGGCGTTACTGCGAGAGCCACATGTTGGAAAGGACCCGCCCTCAATCCTTGAAACGGTTGCATGTTCCAAGCTTCAGGATCAGACATGATGAGGACGTCTCAGTCCAAACGCCCGACCCGGCCTACCGACACGTCTGGGGGTGCGACAGGGAGGAGTTGTTTTTTCAGGAAAAAGGATGGAGATGGAGGAGGAGGAGGAAGAGGAGGAGGAGGGCCTACTTGAGGCGTTCGGTCCTCCGCGACTGGCAGGGCGCCTGCGGGGGTGTCCAAGGAGACGGCGCCTGCGATTTAAATCTGACCTTGGCCCCCAGCACTGCTTGCCGCCACTTCATTGCAGGCTCTGCTGGCGGTAACAGAACACGGGGACAGTCGTCCCCGACGGCGTACGAGTCTGCGTGTATTTGTCTTCCGTTCTTCGTCCGTAAACTTTTTTTCCGTCTCGTCTCGCGTCTCGCGCAGGCTCGTGTTGCGACTCTCCTCCCGAGCCCCTCCCGGACAGCCACCCCGACCAGCTCTCTGGGCTGCGCCCTCGCAGTGGCCACGAGAGCACCCCCCCTGGCAGGCAGACGATGCCAATACTCGTCCACCTCTGTCCGCGTTGCACCCGTCCTCTTGCTCCCTCCCCTCCTTCCTCCTCATGTCTCCTCGCTGGGAAAAATCCTCTTTTCTCCTCGCTGCTCCTTGCTGATCCTTCCTCCTCCTTTCTTCCTCCTTCCTCCTTTTTCCTTCTAACACCCTCTCCTCCTTCCTCGTCCTTTCTCCCCCTTGCTTCTCCCTCCTCCTCCTTCCCGCCTATCCCCTTCCCGGCTCGACCTCTCGGCCCTCCCCTCCTGCATCCCCGCCTCGCCCGCCAGGGCCGCGGGAGGGGCGCGTGGCCTGAGCCCTCCCCCCAAGGGGCGAGTGCCGCGCTGCTCCGCCGTTGCTTTACTCTTTCTGCCTCTGGCCGCGCCGCCCCCACCCCTTGCCGGCGATGTGTCTCCTCCTCCTCCTCCTCCTCCTCCTCCTCCTCCTCCGCCTCCTCCTCTTCCTCCTCCTGCTCCTCCTCTTCCTCCTCCCCCTCCTCTTCCTCCTCCTCCTCCTCCACAATTGCATCGTATGAATACTACTCTCCTCTCTCCCCTGATGACGTCCAGAAAATATCCGGCCCCCCTCCGCGTGTTGTTTTTACGAAGGATCCCCGGGAAACGGATTTCCGCTTCATTTCTGTTCAAAAAGTTGCTCCCAATGAAGCGCTGGCCTCATTTTCGGGCTCCCGCTCGTTCCGAGTCGTGTTCCCGCTGCAGCGCTGGCCTTGTTTTCCGGATTTCCGCTCGTTCCGAATCGTGCTCCCGCTGCAGCGCTGGCCTTCCTTCCAAATAGGCCCCAAAATCTAGAAAATGCCCCCCTCGGAAAAAACATCGGAAGTGATTACACATTCGGTGTCGATTCGTTGATTTTTTGGGCCGCAGAAGCCCCCCATAAGTATCAAGCGGGAACCCCGTTTCTGCATTGAGAAGCGATGTTGAAAGCAGAGCCAGCGGGTACTCTCCATCAGCCCCCCCTTCCGTGCAGCGTTTCGGGGAGACCAAGGAATTAGACATGGAGCCACGACTCCAGACCAGCCCAGACCTCTCGTAGACGATGCATTTACCCTCCAAAGAACCTGGCGACATGCCATGCCATGCCATGACATGCGGTGCGGTGCTGTGTGATGCGCCGGTGTGCGATGCCAGGCTTTGCGATGCAACGCTTTGTGATGCTATGCTTCACTGCGCAATGTCACGCCATGTTATGGCATGCTACCCTCTGCCGTGCTCTTCTACGCCATGCCATGCCGTGCTCTACCATGCATCGCGTACCCTCTCGCGATCGTTGCATTGCTCGCCATCCGACTGTGCGAATAGAGAGGATATCTACGCCATGGCAAGGAATGGGAGGGAGGGGTGGGAATTCAGATATGACGCGAGCGCACCTAGCTTGTCCTCCTCCCCTTCCCCCTCCTCCTCCTCCTCCTCCTCCTCCTCCTCCTTCTCCTCCTCCTCCTCCTCCAGACTCGTGAATGGGCCCTCTGGTCCAAGAGGCCTCCGTCTAATCCTCCTCCTCCTCCTCCTCGTTCTCCTCCTCCTCCTCCTCCTCCTCCTCCTCCGTCCCCGTCTCCGCCTCCTCCTCCTCCTCCTCCTCCTCCTCCTCCTCCTCCTCCTCCTCGGTACGACCTTCTCCGTCCTCCAACTCTCTGTCCGCCTCCGTCCTCTCCGTACTCCTCCGTCCTCCGACATCTCCGTCCGCCGCCGTCCTTTCCTTCTGCCTTGGTCCCCTGTCCTCGTATCCCGCTGCTCCTCCGCTCCTTCTCCACTGGACAGAACAGTGCGCCGGACAATCAGGCACTGAACGCTGCACCGCTGAGGAATCCAATCAGACCCTCCTTCCATTTATGCCGATGTCCGACCCCCCGTATGACCTCGCCCCACAGGTGAAGGACATCATGACGAACATCCCTAAGGCTGGGCGCCTCGCTGCCATCACGGCCCCACCTCGTGATGTTCCGACCTGTTGTCGAGTGCGCATCCGGCGAAGCGACACCTCCAGTTGGGAGCGTTTTTGTGGTGGAGTGGCGAGCGAAAGTGCGGCCGCGCTGGCCCGCAGTAGGCACGCCAAACATAAGACATTCACCTGCCAACCCAGAGCCCTGGTCACCTTACGAAGCTTATAGTCGACAACAGGTGCGCCCTCAGATGATATTATTGCCCGATCACTGATCGGTGTCCTCCTCGGGGGGACTGCGTACTACCCACTGTGGGATCACGCTCTGCGGCATGACAGCGAGGCACTTGTGATTTGTCAGCTCCAGAGTGTAGTATACGTACTTCTCATTTGCTGCCGAATAGTTCACGAAATGGCCCCCATGCTGCCGAACAATCATCTCGGCAAAGCAACCTAACAGCGATGTGTATAAGCATATCTGGAAGCATTCCCCTTAAGATTCAGATGAGAATCCAGTTGTAAAATTCTGCTGTTCTCGCAGTCGTAGTCGCATTCACGATGACAGTCGCAGTGGCAACGGCAGTCGCAGTCACAGCCTCAGCCTCAGCCTGCCTCAGCCTCAGCCTCAGCCTCAGCCTCAGCCTGCCTCAGCCTCAGCCTCAGCCTGCTTCAGCCTCAGCCTCAGTCTGCCTTCAGCCTCGGCCTCAGCCTCAGCCTGCCTCAGCCTCAGCCTGCATCAGCCTCAGCCTCAGCCTCAGCCTGCCTCAGCATCAGCCTGCCTCAGCCTCAGCCTCAGCCTGCCTCAGCCTCAGCCTCAGCCTGCTTCAGCCTCAGCCTCAGCCTGCCTCAGCCTCAGCCTGCCTTCAGCCTCAGCCTCAGCCTCAGCCTCAGCCTGCCTCGCCTGAGCCTCTCAGCTGCCTCAGCCTCAGCCAGCCTCAGCCTCAGCCTCAGCCTCAGTCTGCCTTCAGCCTCGGCCTCAGCCTCGCCTGCCTGCCTCAGCCTCAGCCTGCCAGCCTCAGCCTCAGCCTCAGCCTGCCTCAGCCTCAGCCTCAGCCTGCCTCAGCCTCAGCCTCCTCAGCCTCAGCCTCAGTCTGCCTTCAGCCTCGGCCTCAGCCTCAGCCTGCCTCAGCCTCAGCCTGCATCAGCCTCAGCCTCAGCCTCAGCCTGCCTCAGCATCAGCCTGCCTCAGCCTCAGCCTCAGCCTGCCTCAGCCAGCCTCAGCCTCAGCCTGCTTCAGCCTCAGCCTCAGTCTGCCTTCAGCCTCGGCCTCAGCCTCAGCCTGCCTCAGCCTCAGCCTGCATCAGCCTCAGCCTCAGCCTCAGCCTGCCTCAGCATCAGCCTGCCTCAGCCTCAGCCTCAGCCTGCCTCAGCCTCAGCCTCAGCCTGCTTCAGCCTCAGCCTCAGTCTGCCTTCAGCCTCGGCCTCAGCCTCAGCCTGCCTCAGCCTCAGCCTGCATCAGCCTCAGCCTCAGCCTCAGCCTGCCTCAGCATCAGCCTGCCTCAGCCTCAGCCTCAGCCTGCCTCAGCCTCAGCCTCAGCCTGCTTCAGCCTCAGCCTCAGTCTGCCTTCAGCCTCGGCCTCAGCCTCAGCCTGCCTCAGCCTCAGCCTGCATCAGCCTCAGCCTCAGCCTCAGCCTGCCTCAGCATCAGCCTGCCTCAGCCTCAGCCTCAGCCTGCCTCAGCCTCAGCCTCAGTCTGCTTCAGCCTCAGCCTCAGTCTGCCTTCAGCCTCGGCCTCAGCCTCAGCCTGCCTCAGCCTCAGCCTGCCTCAGCCTCAGCATCAGCCTGCCTCAGCATTCAAAATGTGGCCCGGGAATGGAGTTCTGGGAACTCGAAGAACACGAAGTGGCCTACAGTTGGCTCCGGGCATTCAAAATCATGCCCAGGAATGGAGTTCTGGGAACTCGAAGACCACGAAGTGGCCTACAGTTGGCTCCGGGCATTCAAAATCATGCCCAGGAATGGAGTTCTGGGAACTGGCGAAGACCACGAAGTTACAGTGGCTCCGGGCATTGCCCATGCCCAGGAGTGGATTCTGGGAACTCGAAGACCACGAAGTGCGCTTCTGTTGGCTAAAAAAAGAGTCCCCGGCATCCTCCCCCGGATCGCGCCCAGACCCCCTTGGGGCGTCAAGATGTTCTCTTTTGACCCTACTAGAAACCCATCAGTCTTCGCTGTTAGGTAAAGAACTGTCATCGTGTGTGTGTGTGTCCACTGTACTGCATGTTCCCCCAGCTTGTGTGAAGCCGCTGATGGAACACCAGGGAGGGGTCCTTTAGGGCCGACTTGGAATTGTCTTTGGGGCTCGTTCCATGCCTTCGAGGCTCTCTTGAGGACCTACTGGGCCACATTGGGGCTCCATGGGGCCATCTCAGGGCGCTCTTGGGCCGTCAGGCGCCTTCGGAGGCCGTCTCGGGGGCGTCTCTGGGATTTCTTGAGGCCTTCTTGGGGTCACTAGGGCGTGTTGGGCTCTGTTCGGCCGTCTAGGGGCCGTCTTGGGTCGCGTTGGGGCCGTCTTGGGATCAAGTTGGGGACTACGTGGGCCGTCTTAGGCTGGCGTCGGGGGCCCGTCCTGAACGCTGTTGAGACCGAAAGAGGGATAATCCAAGCATCATGATCTCCCAGACAGTACTTGCACTGGGTGCTGTGTTGCTTGCTTGTGTCTGATTCAACTTGGGGCTCTTGCTTATGATCTTTTTTTGTTCATTGTTTTGCCGATCGGCGCGGGTCCCCAAACCCCCCCTTCCCCCCGCCCATGGAGTAGATCGTGGCTGATTTTGTTGGCGCCTGTTTCGAGCGTGTGGAATCTTCCCCAGATGCAGCATTCTTGCAAACAGTCGCACTAAGCAGGGGTCTGGAGCCAGACCCCCCCCCCCTCCCCCCCCCTTTCTGCCCAATGTCGAAACGCTGAATAAAACAAAAACGCTCACCTTGTGTTGCCTGGTGTGCCGAGGGGTTCGGCTGGCGGCCAGCCGCAGGCGCCTCGTGGGCGCACGGGTGCGCTGGGTGGGTGGGCCGTGCTTTCGATCAGCTCGCCCACGGGCGCCCGGTGGGCGCCTCGTGGGCGCCTCGTGCGCTGGGTGCACCACGGGGCTCCCACCTCGCAGCTTACACCACATGCGCTGCAGTGCACATATTGAACCACATAGCCTGCATCGTACAGCTCGAGCCATGGCTCGCACCGCATAGCTTCCACCTCACAGCTTCCACCACACTCATCGCATCGGGTAGCTTGCACCACATAACTCAAACCACACAGCTTCCACCACACAGCTCACACTACATAGCTTGCACCACATAGCATTCATCACATCGCGTACATACCCAGAGTGCAAGAGCGCAACGTTTGGGACCCACGCGGGCAGACAGCGCTGCATTGGTTTAGCAGTCTTGGCCGTCTGGGAAGCGTCCCAGATGTCATCTTGGGTCCACCTCGGGCCGTCCTGGGGCCATCTTCGGCGTCTTGGAGGCGTCTTGGCACCGTCTCGAGCGCCATGTTGGACCGTCTTGGCAGTCTTGTAGTCGAGTCTTCAATTTGGCCCCCCGATATTCACGCAGGCGGCAGCTCGGGCCGAGTCCCACGTGGAACCTCCTGGAAGGGTCGCAGCATGATGTAAAGCTTGGCACGCCGAGCACCCAGTCGGCAGGCACGGGGCCGGCGGATCTAGCGGTCCTCGGTCCATCCATCCCTCGTCCTCCTCCTCCTCCTCGTCCTCCTCCTCCTCCTCCTCCTCCTCCTCCTCCTCCTCCTCCTCCTCCTCCTCCTCCTCCTCCTCCTCCTCCCCCTTGCCTGGGCTCTGGGGCACCTCTTGGGACCCCCTTCGGGGCCTCTTTGAGGCCTTGGGGCCAGCGGTCTCCGGGGCCATCCTGGCGCTGGCGGAGGCCGGCGGAAGCTGGCAAAAGTCGGATGTCGACGGGTCTGCTGACGGAGCGGCGGAAGCAAAAAGCGAGACGTGATCGTTTCAGGGTTCCGGGTCTCTGGAGCCGCCCATGCTGATGTCGGGGGCGGAAAAGAAGGGGGTGATGACTAGGGGGGGGGGGATATCATGGCGTGGGCCATAATATTTCCCCAGATTTCATGGCGCCTCTTCTTGTTTCATTACGTCCCTGGCCCCCCCGCTGGGCCGCGCACATGCCGCTGGTCATGATTTGCACCCCCCCCTCTTGGACACCCCCCTCTTGGCCGCTCCCGATGATGCTCACATCAGGGTGGCTACCACAATGGTCAGCAAGCTCACGCTCGCCAAGCTCGTTTTTCAGGCTGGGTGGCCTTCGCTGCCCCAGTCCTCACTGCCCCCAGCTCTGTGCGCCGTAGCCATGTTAGCCCCAGCCACTTGCGCCCAAGCGATCATGCACAAGCCGAAAGCGCGTGTACGCACAAGACAGGCGCAAAACAGGCGCTGTACTTCTGGCAGCAAGCCCCGACGGCCCATGTCAGCACACAGGCAGCCTGCATCCGACTGGTAGAATTTGTAAAATTTGGTGCCTGCGGCGGGCTTCTTCAGACCCTCGCAGACTGCCCACGTTCCCGCCGCCCCCTCACTCTGATCCGCAATTGCGGAGTCTTACGGTATCCACAGCCTGTGAGATGAACAATCGAATCGTGGAGGTTGCCTCCAAGCGGCTGGCCCGGCAAGATGGGGGCACCGGGCTTCCTGACGAATTGACTGGCGTCCTGCTTCCGTGCGGCGGCCCCCATCCTCGAGGTGCACAAGGCCGCCTCCGCGAGCGTGGGGCAGCGGGGGCTGTGCATGTGGCTCCCTTGGGCCGCTGCTGGGCTCCTGCGCGGCGCACGAGCTGCTCAGCAGAGATCGGAGCCTAGCGGTGCAGCTCTGTGCCACAAAAGTCATTGGAACTGCTCCATCGGTCACGAGCACATTCGCGCATGGCCCTTCGGAGCAGCATCCTGATCTGTCGGTGCTATGCACGTTGCCCTCAGGTTCTGCCTCGAGTGATGCCTCTGGCTCGGCTGCGGCTTCCAGATTGCTGGGTGCCCGTGCTTCACGCTCTGTCCCGTGATGGAGCTGCTCGCTGGCCTGGATCCGGTTTGGATGGAAAGCGTGCGATGAGTGGTGCGGAGTCTGGAATATGGCATGATGGATGGTTGGCTGTTCGTGGTGCTTCTCTCCGTCGACGCATGCGCTGCTCCGCCTCGATGTGTGTTGCTTGCTCCTGCTCTGAGCAGCTCGCATGTTCATTCCAGCAGCTTGCGCGGTGCTCGATCGAGTGGCGGAGATGCGGCCAAGCTGCTGGCCAAGGAAGGCGAGGCCACCGAGCTTCCTGCCCGGCGGCCGCCCTGTTCGAGACCTCCGACGACCTCATGCAGCTGAGGCTGGCCTGTGGCTCCCGGGGTCGGCGCTCGCCTTGTACGGGGCGCACGAGCTGTTCCAGCAATCAAGACGGAGGAAGCCAGATGGCATTTTCGTTTGCACCCGCACCCGCTGCCAATCTGTGTGAACTCGCACCAGTAACCTGCTTTATATTGTAGGCTGAAGGTCAAACAAGCACGACCCCCCGCTCTCTACAATCACACGAGATGGATACGACTCTCTTCTTTCCTCTGGCCCTATCCGCAAGATGTCCTGCCCCCCGCCGCGTCGTGTTCTGTTCAGACAGGATTGAGCCGACAACTGTTTTGTCCTGCCTGTTGTTACACTCCGATTGTGTATCGTTGTTTCAAACATCGTGTTCTCGCTACCGCGTGGGCCTCATTTTCGGAGCGGCGCTGTGCTCCCGCCGTTCAGAATGGCGCTCTCGCCCCAGCGAGGGCCACTCTGCTGGATCCCACAGGCCTCGCAGGTCCCACGGGGTTCGCAGCTCCCGCAGGCCTCTCAGGTCCCACAGGTACCACAGGATCCACAAGGGGTCGCAGGTCGTCCCTCAGGTACCACAGGTTTGACAGGTTTCCACAAGTCTCAGAGGCTCCGCAGGCGTCGCAAGTCCCACTAGTCCCACAGGTCCGACATGGCCCACAGGTGCCACATGCCACAGAAGTCCCGCAGGTTCCACACGTCCCACATGTCCCACAGGCGTCGCAGGTCTCGCAGGTCCCACTGGTCCCACAGGTCCGACACGTCCCACAGGTCCCACAAGTCCCACAGGTGGTGCATGTTATACAGGTCCCACTGGCCCCCCAGGTCCCACATGTCCCCTCAGGTCCAGGCAGTGCCACACACAGGTCCCACGGGTATCGCCGGTCTCGCGGGTCCCACAATTCCCACAGGTCCCACGGGTGTCGCAGGTCCCACAGGCCCCAAAATGCCAGAAAGGTCCCCTAGGTCGCACAGGTCCAACCAGTCCCGCAGGTTTCACAGGACCCACATTCGCAGGACCCACATATGCAGTTGCCATCTGCCCCACACGTCCCACATGTCCGACAGTCCCACAGGCCACAGAAGTCGCACAGGTCCCACAGGTCGCACAAGTCCCACAGTCCCACCTGCCTCACAGGTCCCACAGGTCACCTTCGCTGCTGTCGGGGTGCTCTGATCGGGTAAGTAGTGGAGTATCAGGGAGGGAGGGATGGAAAGGATGGAAGGGAGGGATGGATTGGGAGGGATGGAAGGGAAGGGAAGGGATGGAAGGGAAGGGATGGAAGGGAGGGATGGATTGGGAGGGATGGAAGGGAGGGATGGATTGGGAGTAATGGGGAGGGGTGGAAGGGAGGGATCGGATGTCAGATGTGGCGCGAGCGCACCTGGCTTGGCTTCAGCCTCTCTCCCCCATTCCCTGGGGGCGTTCCAGAGGGGGGTGTTGTCCAGGGAGAGGGATCGCAGGGCCGGGGCCGTGGTACAGTCGGGGCGCTGAAGAAGGAACCCTTTTCGTTGGGGAGGGGCTCGGTGTTCGTTGATTGGTTCACAGCTTGCCTCAGGTCTTCCTGAGGTTTTCCATGGGACATCGATGTTCAACTTATGAGAAAAAGGGGCATCGTTCCTTATTTAGGGTTCCTTAGGTCAACGCCCAGACTGTATCTCCCCAGGTTTCATGGCCTCCCCTCTTCTTTCAGCACGTTCCGTGGCCCCTCAGTGGGCCACGCACGTGCCTCGGGCCAGGAGTTGCTACTCCCTTTTTTGGACGCCCCCTCTTGGACGCTATCGGCTTTCTTTTCAGCCTGCCTCTCCTCACGTCACTGTCACCATCCTGGCGCATACGTCTCCCCACCTCTCGCCCTGCTGCTCCTCCTACCCGTCCTCTTTCTCCCCACTCTCCCCCTTCCTGCTCCTCTTCTCCCGCTGAGGTATGGTGCCGATTTGTTGATGTTGCCTCGCTCAAGCCATCTTTTCTTCGATTTCGCCAGCAGATTCAGCCTTGCAGACTGCCGATTTTCTCGTCCCAGATTGCGTTGGCCTTCACTTGTCCGCCATTCCTTCGCCAGCCCCTCATTGGCTGGAAGGTCCCCTCCGATCGACTGGGACGCCGCGCACCAGACGGGGCTAACGCGGATGTCTGAGCCCGCGCAGTGTTGTTTTCCCTTGGCTCCCGTGAGACCAAGCGGGTGGCATCCAGCGACGACCACGAGGGCGCGGCGCACCTGCGGAAAAGGAACGAAGCGTAGACGAGGAAGAGGAGGGAAGTTGGTAAGAGAAGAAGAAAAAGAAGAAGAGTTGTTACGATGATAAGATTGAAGAAAGTCGATGGTTGCGAACTCCTGGGCGGTCATAGGTGGTAGTTGCGCAGGCTGGTACGTATGAGGGAGAGGATGAGAAGGGGAGGAGGAAGGAACGGCTTAAGGGAAAGGAGGAATATAAGGGGCGGCCGGAGGAAGAGGAGGAGGAGGAGGAGTGATTGGGGGATTGTGGAGTCCATCGCCTTTCGAAGAGTGTTTTCGTATAGTTATTCGTGAAGTGTTCGAACATTATTCCTCTTCTTCCTTCTCCTTCTCCTCCTCCTCTTCCTCTTTCTTCCCCCTCTCCTACTCCTCTTCCTCCTCTCTCCTCCTCCTCCTCCTTCCCCCAGAATCTGGCTTTTTGCTTGTCCTGCATCCTCCCCCACAAAAAAAACAGAAACACACAAAAAAAAAACGCTGCGCGGCCTAAGGTGGTTTCGTGTTTTTGGGGGGGGGGGGGGGGGGCGCTCCTCCTCCTCCTTCGCGCTGCTCCGCTCCCTCCTCCTCCTCCTCCTCCTCCTCCTTCTCCTCCTCCTCCTCCTCCTCCTCCTCCTTGCCCCAGAATCAAGCTTTTTGCTTCTCCTGCCCCCCCCCAAAAAAAACAAAAAAACGGCGCGGCCTCCTGTTGTTGTTTGTCTTTGTTTCCTTTTTTTTTGGGGGGTGCTCCTCCCTCCTCCTCCTCCTCCTCCTCCTCCTCCTCCTCCTCCTCCTCCTCCTCCTCCTCCTCCTACCCCCAGAATATAGCTCTTTGCTGTTGAGATGCTTCGACAGAAGGAAATACCCCGCTTGGCATTGCATTGGCATTGGTTTGGCCATGGTTTGGCATCGCATTGACATTGCGTTGGCATGGCGCTTGGCAGTGCGTTGGCATTGCGCTTGCATGTCGCAAGCACTGCGCTGGCGGGTCCTAATGGAATCCTCCACAAGAGGACTCAACATGAAACCCTCTACCAGAAGGACTCCGATTGAAACCCTCCACAAAAATCATTCACATTGAAACCCTGCACAGAAGGATGTTATGCGAAGCCCTCCCCAGAAGTATCCGTATTAAGATCTATCACACATGCTTTCCCCCATTGGCATTGCATTGACATTGGGTTGGGATCGCCTTGGCAGTAAGTTGGCATTGCGTTGGCACTGCTTTTGCATTGCGCTGGCATTGCGCTGGCGAGTTCCAAGAGCTCCCTTCGCAGAATGATTCCTATTGAACCCCACACAAGAAAGATTTCGATTGAAGCATTCCACAAGAAGGGTTCATGTTGAACCCATTCGAAGCCCCCCATAGAAGGAATCCGATTGAAACCGACCACAAACGATTTCCCCCCAGGCATTTCATTGGGATTGGATTGGGATTGCCATGGCATTGGTTTGGCATGGCGTTGGCACTTATTTGGCGTTGCGCTGGCGAGTTCTAATGGCCTCCCCCACCATGGAAGGATTCCGATTGAAACCTTCCACACG